GAAGAGCCACAGGAGAGGAGAATCTTCCTTCTGCTTGCCATGCTTGCCTTCCTCTTCTGCCGTGTCAAGACCGTTCCTGTTAATCAGCAAAGAGAGAGGTGGGCTTGTCTTTGAGACAATCCTGACATCTTCTTTCGCTATATTCTCCTTGAGCTCCAGCTCTTCAGAGAGATTTTTGGCCAATGACTGTTGCAAAGATGGCTCACTGAGTAGGTCTCAGACTGTTCGTGGTACAAGTCAACATTAGTTTTCCAACATACATCAAAGTGTCTAGCACAGGTATTTGCTGGCAGCGGGAGAGGGATTCATTGACACCTCTGGCTTGCAAAGTGATCAGGAACTGAAGGCTGACCTCCTTGTCTGATCTTTCTGTTCCAAATCCAGTTACAGGTAAAAAATATCCTTGATAAATAACCCAAGTAAAAAATGTCAGTTTTTCTCTTGATGGAAGTGAGACTGAAATTTGCTTTAATTTCTAATAGCCAAGGGCAAGAACACTAATGGCTTAGAGTAAATGCCTTCTTGCAGCCATAAATTCTGCTTCTTGGGGGATAAAGGATTTAGAGGATGATAAACAATCTCGAAATTCCTTCTTTCTTTTACTTTAAGTGAAAAATGCTACTCTATTGAGTCAGCTGGAGTCAGCCGCATCAATCTTAGTGGTGATTTTCCATTTGTTCTATCCAACGACCCATCGATAACATCCCTGAATGAATGTTGCATTTAGGCATGCGGACAGAAATGGGAGGCAGCAATTATTTGACTAATTTAGAGCTGGAACATTTCACCCAGCATCTTCCAGGAAAAGAATGACTGCAAGGTGTGACCCCCATATCGCTTAACCTGGGGATTTTTCTTAAGCCAAAGCCAGCTGATGCTTCATCTTCAGCTCTTGGTGGTTTTTACTGACGAGCATTGCAGGTGCAGTCTCCTTGCAAGGGAGACCTTAGTCCAGAAATACTCCTCCAGCAGCAGGTCACAGCACAGCACTAGGAAAAGGAAAATCCACTTGACCATAATGATGTATTTGTGTGGGGTGAGTGTAAGACCTTTCAAAAATAAGCCCAGACAGACTTTCTCCTTTCTGTATCAGTCCATTAGTTGCTAACTACTGTCTGAGTTAAAGGATGGGGCACAGCTGTGGTTTTCTTGAAGCATGTCATTAACATGATCAGCATAACCACTCAAACGGCACCCTGTTGCTTAACTGTGTGAGAAAGCACCCTGATTATTTGTAATATTTTTTTCTCTCCAACACCCAGTGTAAGAAACAGAAAAAGAAAGTTATTTTGAGGCAATGGACTGAAAATTGCCTGTCAGTGGAATGTACGATGGGAACCTGTTGTGGGTGGCAGTTGAGTACAAAGCACTGCTGCAGTCTAGCTCTTCACTGTGTTATGTCCCAGATCAAAGGAAAATAGAAGGATGAACTTGCATCTGCTGGATAACATAATGTTGCAAGTAAGCATAGGTCATGAAACCACCTGGTGACTTTGTCTCATGCTTTCAGATTTTATTTTTTACATCATTAGGCATGCAAGAGTTAGCACACCATTTTGGGCTGGATAGACGCTGCCATGCATGACTGTTGCTTCAGAGCTCGGCTGCAGCTCCAAGTACAAACATAACCCCATCCCAGGCAGAAAAGTTGCAAAGATGATGGTTCATTAGTGCAATCTTTTGCTCTTGTATGTCTCCTCTTATTAAACTAGACCTCTTGTATGCTCTGTGGCACGGTCTTCTGCACAAAAGGAAACAGCCAGTGACAAATACTGAGATTTAGTACTTTATACTTATCTCTGAAATATTTAAATGAGAAAGCTCTCTGCAATAATATTTGAAAACAGACCGCTGCGTTGTTTGAAGACAGCAATTTTCCCCTCCAAAATCAAATGATCCTAGTTAAGATCAGAAAGATGATGTGGAGGAACTACAGTCAATTCACTCTTTTAAAAAATGGTTTTGTAGTTTCATATTCCCTTACTAGGATCTGCATAGCATGTTCAGATAATAAATGCTAGATATAATTGCTAGATAGAAATGCTGAGAACGACTAATCAGCAAATTATATTCTTAGGCTTGCCCAGACACACATTCTAAAAGGAAATTATTGCTATAAAACATTTTGCATTTAATCCCTTGTGCTTTCAGTTCTTGGAGGCTGGTTCACAAAATGATTAAAAAAAAAAAATCAGTAAATAACCGAGAAGTCAGCTCACAAACAAGCTCAGAAACAGGGTACACTTGAAGTCTTTAGTAGTCGTTATGCACCTGGAGATTACCCTCATCATCATCACCATCACTGTAGTCAAGATGGCTGTGAAACAGTGACTGCTCATGGTTTCTTCCCTTATTTTTTCTAACAGTTGGAATAATTTTCCGCCATAATTTTGTTATGGGCATCTTGTTCCTTCAATTCTTTCCTATCCACTCTTATCCTTCAAAGAGCCTTAGTGTCAATGTTTAATATCATCGCATGGTACCTAAAATAGTGAGGAAAGTGTAAACGTGCACCACTGCGTCAGGCAGGACCTCTCCTGATCAAATCAATCTTCTCATGGTTTCATGTGGCCAGCAGGAGTTCACCAGTCTGGCAGCTGCCGCCGGCTATGGGCAGCAGCCAGCAGCTGCCAACATCTGGGCAGCTCACGTGCCCTCCTCCTAGGTTGCTTAGTGCAGAACGACCACCTGAGAAGCTGCTGAGGAGGACATCAGCCTCAGTTGGACCCTGAGGTTTATTATCAGGACAAAACACTAATGAGCATTGACTTTTCTGCATGGTGAATTGGGTTTTGTGGCATGGTCAGAGCCTGCTCTGCTGCTAGGGAGCCTGTGATGGTCTTTGCAGATGAAACATCACTGGACAATCTCATCTTACCTTGGTTTAAGTTGGATACAGTTGTAAAGTAAACAGCCAGATCTGGCCCAAAAACCACTGCAGTCAAAGGACATTTCTGCCAGTTTTCATGAGATTTTTGGGGAATGTGCCCAGGCAAGGCAGAGGGCTTAAAACTACCTGTCCCAACATTTCATGTTCAGTAGACATTTAGAAGTAGTTAAACTTCTGGATTGCTCTCAACCCTTGAACCCTTGCTTAAACCTAGCAACTTGCTTGAACCATTTTTTAGTATTTTTTTAAGTCAGTCATCCAAATTTAGGCCTTTTGGAGGGAAGCTCAGCATCCTGAAAAGGCAAAAATTGCACATGCAGCACCATTATCTTACTAAGATACATATGTATGTTGTCACAACACAAAATAGTTTTTATTCCCACATCTTATACTGAGGTTGGGATATTCAAAAGGTAATAATCTCTTGGCTTAAGAAGGCAGCTGCTCTACTCTTGCTCCCTTCCTCAGCAGCACGAGGCCACAAGAGGAGGTCAAAAGATTATTCTTTTTTCATTATTCTTAATCTAATTCTTCAGTGGAAATGGATACTGTTTTTATTGAATCTATTTATTTAATTGGTGCTGCTGGAAAGTTATTTCGTGACCCACAAGAAGTTAGAATATCTTGGATGTTTTGCTTTTTGTTGGTGTTTAAGGTTTGCTCAGGGAAAGGATGATGCACAAGTGTGCTAGCGGTTTTGTCCTACTGCTGTGTCCATCCCGGTCAATGCACTCTGATACATGGGGGTGACAAAATGAGCATCCTCCCTCCTCATCTCTGTGGGACACCTCAACATCGCAGACTTTGCTATGGAGGACTTTTTCCTTGGCTTGGAATAGCTGTGCCCCATCCGCCATCAGACCTCTCTTGTTAAAGCTGGATTACTCCTGCCTCACCAACTGGTTGACCCGTGATGGGTGATGGAGCATCCTGGGGATATGGCAGCTTTCCTGCAAATAAACACAGAGAAACTCTCAAGCCCCTCCACTTCTATGCCATGTTGATAGTTATGGAATATCTTCTAATGTGAGCCTTTAAACTCTGTTCCTGGTGACAAGGAGCTGAGTCAGATACAAGTAATCTTCTCAACCTCCCTCTCTTCCTCACTGGTTATCAGCCTCCATTAGTTGTTTTCATTTTGGACAGCTGGGTGGGGTAGAGCAATATTGCAGTAATGGCTGTAATTGCCTTGATTAATTTCACCCCTGAGCACGTGACATTGGGTTTTTTCCTCCTGATTTCCAAGCTCAGCCCCTTAAGACTGAGCTGAAAAGCCTCGCTGAGAGATGGCTCCACTCCAGGAGTGCTTGACCATTCCCATGCGGCCACCCACTCCATCTGTATTGCCAATTGATTTTCCCTTCTGAAAGCCAAGTGCTGCCTGCAGACCTGCTCGGATCGATGCTGGTGGGGAAGTGAAGGAAGACAAAAGGAAGAAATAAAGTTTTGACTCCAGGCACTGAAGGCAATTGTCATATTTCTTTCCTTTGAAACCCGAGCGGGAGTTGGCTGGGACCTGTCAAGCTGTGAGTTCTCACATGTTTGGTAAATATCTAGGGTCTGATTCACCACTGAAACACTCCATTATTTTTTTGGCTCTATGCAAAGGAACTGTTCTGTCACTGGGACAACACCAGCTATCTGACGTCCTCTTGCTTTTGTATTTTAGCACCTCATGGTCATGTGTGCCTGTCCTCACAGACCTCCATCAGGACAGGGAGATGATGTCATCCCTGCCTGGCAGAGGAATGTAGAGGCACAATGGTCACAAGCATGAGTTCTTCTCTGACACTAAATCCAAACCTGGCCAAAAGCTCCAGCTGTCAGATGATGACACCCCAGCATGGTGCTGATGAGTCCATGCATAACAGAAGGTGGTACACATGCCATATCACAGCCTCTCTTGTGGGACTCACCATGTCATAGGTGCCCCTTGGTGCATGGTGGGTCATACACCAGCTCCTGCTGCTGTGTGGTGGTCATTTAATAGCTGCACTGCTTGTCTTGCTATACCTGGAGAGCTTCTGGGGGGATGCAAGAGGAGCATATTTCCCTCCAGAGATGTCTGCAGTCAATGGTTTGCACATACAGATCTCTGCTTTCATTGCAGGTGGAAGACAGCATGATGGATGTGTACGATTTTGTGTACGAGGAAGTGAGGAGGAATGCCTCCAACTTCAGGAGGCACGAGCTGACTGCCATCCACGAAGCAGTAAGTTGTCTTTCAGCCTTTGCAGAAAACGTTGCTCTGAGGTATCTTCCTGATGGTTTCAGCAGGCTGGGGCTGTCACTTGTGCTCTGCTTCATGACGTTTTCCCTTGGGAACCAGGTCCTCCAGCCTGCTGCAAAGTCTTCTCTTCCCTTCCTACTCTTCCTTTCCTAGGTTTGACCAACCAGATTATCAACAGGAGGAAAGGGCTATCTTCAAAGCTTCCATACCATAGTTGATATATGTTTTCTGTCTCAGCAGGCCCTTGGCCATACTCCCTCTCCGTGGTAGGAGAAAGTGGATATGCACCTCTCTGGTGTTCCCAGTCAGGTAGAGAGAGGGGGGAAAATTCCATATCGTCCAGCAGAAGTATTTGGACTTGGGTGGGAGTGTTGATCTGCTTGAGGGCAGGACGGCTCTACAGAAGGGTCTGGACAGGCTGGATCCAAGGGCCAATTGTATGAGGTTGAACAAGGCTCAGTGCTGGGTCCTGCACTTGGGTCACAACAACCCCAGGCAACGCTACAGGCTTGGGGAAGAGTGGCTGGAAAGCTGCCTGGCGGAAAAGGACCTGGGGTTCTTGGTTGACAGCCGGCTGAATATGAGCCAGCAGTGTGCCCAGGGGGCCAAGAAGGCCAACAGCATCCTGGCTTGTATCAGAAATAGTGTGGCCAGCAGGACTAGGGAAGTGACCATCCCCCTGTACTCAGCACTGGTGAGGCCACACCTTGAGTGCTGTGTTCAGTTTTGAGCCCCTCACTACAAGAAGGACACTGAGGTGCTGGACCGTGTCCAAAGAAGAAGCAACGAAGCTGGTAAAGGGTCTAGAGGAGCAGCTGAGGGAACTGGGGTTGTTAAGCCTGGAGAAAAGGAGGCTGAGGGGAGACCTTATTGTACTCTACAACTACCTGACGGGAGGTAGTAGTGAGGTGGGTGTTGGTCTGTCTTCCCAGGTAACGAGCGATAGGACAAGAGGAAATGGCCTCAACTTGTGCCAGGGGAGGTTTAGATTGGATATTAGGAAAAAATTCTTCACTGAAAGGGTTGTCAAGCACTGGAACAGGCTGCCGAGGGAAGTGGTTGAGTCACCATTCTTGGTATTCAAAAGCTGTGTAGATGTGGTGCTTAGGGACATGCTTTAGTGGTGGACTTGGTAGTACTAGGTTTATGGTTGGACTTGATCTTAAGGGTCTTTTCCAACCTAAATGATTCTATGATTCTATTTCTGTCTACCCCTAAGCCTATGGCTGATGAGGACTGGAGGCTACGTGGACTCTTGCAATGATGGTGGCTGCTGGTAAGTTCCCCAAAACCACCACCCAGGATGCTCTTGGTGCAGGGGACTTCTCCATAGTGCAGTAGGTAGGAAAGGGTGGCTACCTAGAGCACAGGGAAGATGCTTGTCCTCAAAGCCACAGGAAATGAGTGAGGATGTCCCCCCACGGTGAGAAACTCCAAAGTCCCTGCTGAGTAAAAGAGATGCAGTTTCCTCACTCAGCAGGGCTTGTTTGGGTAGTGAGTTCATGGTATGCAGCAGGGCTGGACGAGAAGGTCAGCTCTGCTCACATGTTTCCAGACACCTCCCACACAACTCCCTTCATCCTTCTGTGTTTTCTTAAGTCATTGTAACAAGTACTTTCCAAATGCCTTTCATCCATGCTTCTCAAAACACAGAAAAGAGCAAATGTTTCTCACTGCAACGATGGTGGTACTTGCTCTGTGGGGTTGTAGGACAGCACACCCAGAGTCCCCCTTGGCAAGGAGAACCAGGCACAATACCCTGCTTCATCAGTTGCTTATTTCAGCCACTTTAACTGATGGAGAAACAGTCCTTCTACTCGTTTTCTTTTCTTTTCTTTCTGCTAGAGCTCCAATCTGGCCAGTTCACCCTGGCTATAAGAAACCAGCTTCACGGTGGGTGTTTCTGGGGACCCCCCTAGCCTATAACAAACACTAGGAACATGAGTCTGTTTATCCCTGGGTTTTCCAGAGCAGCCACTGTGAGAGCTGGTGTGACTGTGGTGGTAGGGCTTGGCCCCAACCCCAGGCAGCAGTCCTGGAGGAGCGTGGGCAAGTCTGGGGCCAGATCCATCCACCTCCTCTGAATTTAACCTCCATTGCTGCAGTTGTTGATCGCACATCTACGTGCTTCGCTCCTTGCAGCCCTGGTTGTATAGCCCTGCCCGGGGTGGCAGGGAGGAAGGGTGGTCCATCGCCATGCAGCACCTCCTGCCGCAGCAGCTGGCGGCGAGGGAAGAGCCCCGGCGGGCGGCTGGCAGACCTCTCCCTCTCTTCCAGTTCCTGTGCTGTGGGAAGCACTCTCCATTTGGGGACACGACCAATGTCGAGCGCACGACGTGCCCACCTGGCGAGGTGCACGACACGGGACAGGTAAGGGAAAGGTTTCTTCCACCCCACAGCAGGGGTGTGCTGCTACTCGCTAACGGTTAAAACCTCACTAGTGTTTGTTAGTGAGAATTGTGGCTTTTTCATGGTTTGGGGTTACTATGGGTTGGGGTTTGTTTTGCTGGGGTTTTGTTGTTTCAGTAAGGAGACATCTGACTCACTGGAGGAGTCCCAGTGGATAAGCAGGTCTCAGACCTGCAGATGTGGTTTCCTTTGCAGCTCCACAAAGTATTCAAAATGCTTCTGTTTGCAGCCTGTCACTTGCCTCCAGCTTTCTCTTTGTCTCCTGTGTGTGCAGAGTGTGAGATGTCATAGGCATGTATCTGAGCTGAAAGGAACTGTTGGACTTTTCCACATGACACTAGTTTCTGAGGCTTAAAACGTCTCACTAACAGCATATGTGGAATTTGTTGTAATTCTTTTTTCCCGAGGCATTAAATAGGTATTAAAATGAGAAACCCGTGAAGCAGGATGATGATGCCCAGTAGTAGCTTCATCAAGTATGCTTCGTTCTTCCTCTTTGCAGTATCTCAATGAGGTTGATGGAGAAGCCACGAGGATTAGACTGCCTCTGCACTGAAGCTGCCACATAGACATCATATTCCCTGAGCAAATCTATTGTACGATTATTTTTCTTCCACTGGAGCAGCCAAATCAGCTGAAGTAGCTAATGTCGCCAGCATCAATATGTATGTTGTCCCTAGGAAAAACAAAACCATGTTGCTACAGCTATACAAAAACATTGTTAAGCAAAGATGTCAAGTGCTAACAGGCTGCCGTGATGTGCAGGCGCGTGTCAGCCCATGGGGCAGCGTTTCAAAGCACTGCCTCTGGGAACGTTACGTCTTGAAGCAGGGTTGAACTCTGCTCAAAGAGCAGAAAGGGAGAGCAGAACAAAACCTGGCACCATGTGGGCGACTGTTCCTTCCTGGTTAATGGTTTGCATTTCCTCTGGTTGTGAGCGGATGGTGGATGGGAGGAAGCATTTTGCAACTCAGGGAACCGCAGCGTTTGGTAGCTGCAGTACATTCACTCTTGGCTTTGAGAGCTCTTACCTCACTTGGCAAATCACTTCATCAAGGGCATGCTCTTGCATTCTTGAAATGGCTCTCTTAGCTAACACCTCCTGGATTTCCGTGGGGCCGCTGGCATGCTTAAGGCTAATGCATATTAATGCTTGCGACACCTTGCAAAATTGAGCTGTTCATTAGTATCTTTGGGGAACGTATTTAGCATTATGGTGTGCCCTGCTTTTCCATCTTTTCATTTCCCTCTTTCCATTTTCCAGTGGGCGGAAAGAAAAAAAGCTTGTGTGTCACCACCTTTACCTGTGTGCAAATACATCCCCCTCAGTCCAAAATGCACCATACCAAGAAAATTGTAGGGGTGTTGTAGTAATAGAAAATACACCGCAGCTGTTTGTTTTCCCAAGCTGCAGCAAGCAGCAGAAAAAAAGGAGATCTGCCCATGGAGTAGCCCAGCTGTGCAGTGCTGCATCCCCCTCTTCTTTCCCTTTCTATCTGGGGTTGTGGCAGGTGCTGTTGCGGGGGCGGGGGGGGGATGAAGCCCCCCACTGAGATGATGCTGTGCTGCAAGGTGTGTCTCTGTCCTCCTAGGACTGCCTGCGGAAGATCCAGGACTTCCTGAAGAAGCACACAGACTTTGTCTCCACACTCCTGGGCATCACCATCGGCTTCATGGTAGCTATGTCTGTTCCTTCACATTTTGGTCCCAAGAGGCAAGCCGCACTGGGGAAAGCATATCCTAAATTAGCCCTCAGAAGCTAGGATTTTGGGTGATTTTGGAGAGGCAGCAGAGAACCAAGTGGTGGTGGACTCCACTGTGGAAATTAGGAAAGGGCCAGGACCTGTCTTAGCCAGGCTGATGGATGGCAGGGTTTTCCTGCAGGAATAGGCTCGCTGCATGTTTTTTCTGCCCAAACTAGGCACGGCAGCTGGGAGCAGGGAACAGGGAGAAGGCTGCAGCAGCATTTGCATTTCATCCACCTAGGTTTGCCTGCACATCTCCTGCAAGCAAGAGGCCATATCGCCTGGTGCAGGGCTTGCGGATCAGGTGGGAAGACAGCAGCAATTGTGGAAATGGAGATGCAGTGAAAGCTCCATATTTTAGGAAACTTGCTGCCTCTCCTTGCCCAGTGCTCACTGGCTGCCACTCAGCTCAGCCTGGGAAGTTACTTTGTGCAGCTGGAGCTGGAAAGTCTTGAAAGCTCCTGAGCACCAGCAGTGGAGCTGGAGAGCTGTGTGGAAAGGGAAGGTCTCATCCTATTAATGACCACTAATGAACCTGGTAAGGTGCATCTCGGGTGGTGGGTGGGTGAAGCACGGCTTGTAAGGAGCAAGCTGTAAAGAAGAGGAGCAGAGCGTGTTGCCTGTGCTCCCAGGTACCATCTTTGAAGGAGGCTCTTATGGAGGAGGGGTAGGATCATCTTCAGAGGATGGCTTGTGGAGAAAGGCTCTGTTCTGAATTTGTGAGTCTTATTTGGGAGACAACAAAAGAAAAAATGAAATGCTGCAAGATGAGCGTGTCTTTCAGCTGTGAGGGGGTCAGTGGCTGCATGGGGACGGTCCTTTCAGAGCTGGAGAGCATTGCTAATTAAAACAAGCCTGCTTATATGCCCACCCACTGCTTGTCAGAGGTGTATCACTGTAATTACCTCTACACGAGGGCCCTGCACGTGTGGTAAAGCACACCAGAAAAGAGTACACACCAGGAGAGTAGTTTCTTCACCATGAAGGGAGGGTCTGCTGTGATATCGCCATGCTGCTTCCCAGGTGGGGCAACCTTTCCTGACTGAATGTGTATTTGGAGATTGTTTTACTACTTGTGTCTGCCTTGGCACAACTATGGGTTAGAAGACTCTTCTCCATCTAACTAAAACCCAAAGGAATATACACTTTTGTATTTTATACTGCTAGTAGTAAATTAGGATTGCTATGGAGCTGTAGATGTGAAGTCATGTGTGAATATTTTGTATCACTTTCTAATTTTTGTTGGGTATAGGAGGAATTTCACTACACCTATATTCAGATAAAAGCAGGAGTGTTTTTATTATATGTATCTTTTTTACACAGCTTGATGCTATACCCAGATAAGGCAGCTGTCTTTGAAGCGCGTGCTAGAGGAAATCTCACTGCACGGTTCGCTGTTGTGATGGCAGGATGCAAGGTGCAGCAACGAGGGCTATAGCTGCTCTGATGTCACTGTCCCTTGGCCAACAATACATATGTGTCCCCAGATCAAGCTGCAAGCAAAGACGCTTGCATGTTAAGGCAGACTTTTAGGAAAGAGCAAGTTGTTACAGCCCTTGTTATCCTTCCCACAGCAGCCTTACCTTTGATACATTGCCTGTGCAAATCCTGATGTGTGTTATGCCAGGCAGAATATCACAATACAGAGGAAGGATACTGTCCACAACTGTGCATGTGCATGGGGTGGGGTTTGGGTTTTGTTAGGGTTTTTTGTTTTGTTGGGTTTTTTGCTCCAAACGATACATGAGGTTTGTGGATTTTGGTGTTTGGGTTTTTTTTTTCTCCCTATGTTATCTTTACAAAAGGCTATTATCATGTGAAAGATAGGTTTGTTTGCATAGAGGAATGTTTTGTGGCAGGAATTTGAAATCTGAATTTCCTAGTTTCATCTCATTTCTTGGTATTTTTAGGATGGGGTTTGAGCCATATTGTGCTAATTCCAATCAGATGTTTTAGCCATGTGTTGAGTATTTTTTTCCTCCCATGTGGAATTTTACTGGAAAACAGCTCTCTTAAGAAAAATGTGACATTCCAATACATAAATTCAGAAGTACCAAGCGGACTAAGAGGCAACATTTATGATCACTTATTTGCACAGATGGAGCATCGTAACCAGTTCAGCATGTAATTGTGTGCCCATCTCATTTATTTCCTTTCAGGTTTATGGGATGATCCTGACTTCATTCCTTTGGTTCTCCATCCACTTCAGCAGCAACCTGGACCGGAAAGGCAAATACATCCTGCGAGAGAGGTAGAAACCCGCCGCCTGGGCATCCCTACCAGGTAGAGCCAGCTCTTGGCACAGGAAGATGTCTGAAGTCGCTCACCAAATCCCCCGGGAAGGCGTTGCATCGGGTCAGGCAGCGGGACGTGTGTCACACTTGTCCCCTTCCTGCACTACTAGCTGTTACGCATTTCCAAGCCGATCAGAGTGGACAATGCTCTGCAGAAGAGCAGTCCCACACCTTTGCCGAAAACAGACAAGGACTGAGATACACACCTGGACTTGGAGATGCAGATCGCCTCGCCTGGGGACCTACGGGCTCTAGCTCCGAAAGCAAGACACAAAGAGCCCCTTAGGACACAAATGGAGAGAAAAGCCCAGCAAAAATCACAGCGTTAAACCAGACTTCTCTTGCACTATCATCCGAGCAGTTCCCTGTGACCCGCAAAGATGCAATGTTTCTAGGAAGATTGCTTTGGATCACAGCCCAGGACCGATCTTGTGCTATCAGCAAATACATGGACACAAAGTGTATCATTGCTGATGGGAAATGTGCTCTCCTAGCCTGGATGCTTGTAATGATTGACTTTGGGCACGTTTCTGATCATGCTCAAGTATGTAGGCATCCAACAATCATTGACTAGTTGCCCCCTGTTTTCAGATATTACCAGATTTCAGAGCTTTTGGTAGAGATCAGGCAAAAAAATCACAAAGTAGTGCATGAGCTTTGAAACAAATGACCAGCATAAGGACATATGCCTCTGGTATTCCTCCTTGCTAATGCAATACGCCATTATTTTTTAATTCTTAGGATTTAGTCAACCTCTTAGAGCTTGATGCCACACTGATTTCACAGGGGCTTGTTCAACTTCCAGCCTTATCTCTGTGTTTATCTAGCTTCATGAACTCACCACGCTGCTGTGCATTACAGAAGGACTTTGACATTACACATACACACAGGACCGAAGCTTAAATCTATAAGAGAATGGGACTGATCTCCAGCCAAGTCAAACAATACAATGTCCAGCCCCACATCCTCTTTACTTCACCTTATCAATAATAAACAGAAATTTAAAAAGCCTCAATCACATGGAGAAATCGGCACTCGAACGATGGCTCCCTGATGTGCTTTGCCCTTGTTGCGAGGGGGCAGAGCCACTTCTGAGCTGAAACCTAGCATTGCACTAGATTTAGCATCTGCTGGAAAACCTGCTGTAAACTATATGGCTGTGTGAAATGTCTGTTGAACCAACAGCAGCCTTCACCCCTCTCCTTCGTTGTGGCTTTTAGCCAAGAAAAACAGTAAGTAGGAATTGCTTATTGAGATTAAACGTGGAAACCTCCATGCTGATGTTCAGGACAGGTCCTGGCCCTCAGGCAGAGGCTGCTACACGTACAAGAACAGCAGTACTGACTACAGCACCTGGTTAGCATTTTAACGTGGCTGCAAATGTCTTGCGCTGGAAAGAATTGTGTTGGGGAGGGGAAAGGGCTATCGCTCCTCATCCTGCTCCCTTGGAACCAACGGGGCTTCACCATTGACTTCACTGGAAGCAGGATCAAGTTCAAACTGCTCCAGAGTATTGCTCAAGCTACCTCTTGGCAGTCACCAACACGTCTCTCTCTTGCAGGGATTTAGTGGTGATACGCACTTGCCAACATATCCACTTTCTAGCAGTGGGGAAAGATTCACTTATGTGTGTGTGTGTGTGTGTATATGTACACACTACTGAGTATCTCGCTTTCTGGAGAGAGACAATCTCCCTTGTGAGCTCCAGCTGCTATTGTCCAGGCCACTGCTATTGTTATTCCTCAGGCCAGCTGGCAGCTCATGTGACTCATGGTTGCTTCAATAAAGACGAATTTCTTGCAAAAGGCTGTCATTCCTTCTCTTTTTCTGCCGTGCATGAGGCTGCCTGCATTGCTCAGGGGGTTGCATCGTGGAGAGCCTTCAGTAATTCTTTCAGCGCTGGGAAGAGATATTCCCCAGGCAGCTGGTGCTCGCCTGTCCCAGCAGCGTGCCTTAGCACCCAAGAGGGAGAGGATAGTGTTGGTTCTTTGGAGGAAACAGAGCTTCTCATCAGCCTCATCCTACTCTCAACCAGCTGCTGGGGCAGCACGCAGGTACCTCGCAAGGAGTAATGCAAGCAGGAGCAGGAAAAAGTCTTAAGGACTTGTTTAAGCAATAAAGACTAGAATATTTATATGAAAGAAATCTCTATGGTTTCACTTGCTAAACACTACATAGTCAGGTCTTGCCCACTGCTCTGTGTTGGCTGGACAGCTGATGATGTTCTGCCATATCAAAAAAACCATTGGAGATTGTGCAAATCAGTGGAGTCTGTGTTATTGGTGTGGGTTTCCTGCTTAATCCTCAGCAACTAGTAGAAAAGATCTCTTTTAAACCTTCACCACCAGAACTGCTAAAGCTTTAGTTGCTCCTTCTTCCCAGGTCAATTTTAAATGTAAAGGGATGATTATGAACAGGAGTAGCATATATATAATAAAGAAACTTGAAAGTCTATCATATCCCCCTCCTCCAGCTCTCATTTCCCTTGAATCACTTGTGATCACTGAAACTTCATCAGAAGGAGTGAGGCATCTGTCCAGCATTGGCCATATAGGTGCACGTATGTAGCTGCTGTTTTCACACCTCTGTAATGATTTCTGATGCTTGAGGCAGGGATGAGAACATGACTTTCACCAAACCATCTCACAAGGTGATAATGCACCTGGAGAGTCATCATTTCTTCTTCCCCATAAGTAGCAGACTGGAAGTGTGCAATTTCTTGTCCTAGGGAGCTGGAAGTTCTCTTTCTTCCTCTGATAGCCAGCCGTGGGGTTTAGGGGGGGTTTTTTTGGTACAAAATACTCCAACAAACTATAATTTAAAAAAAGCAAACCTTGCTCCGTATGTACACGCTGGCCATCTCATGATCTTTGTTCCCATTTCACCCACTGCTGGAGTTCCCCTGCAAGGAGCAGCACCTTTAATGAGCGGGTGGCAGAGCAGTGCCTGGCTGGACACGCTCTTTCACCAGAGCTCGTGCTGTGTGTAGCAGCAGGGCTCCTGCTGCCCTGCGATGGCATCTCCCTCTCATTTTCAGGAGCAGGAAAGCAGATATCTTCTACTCCTCAGTTTTTGGAAATCTGTGGCAGAAAAGCGCAGCATTACCATTTTGTTTGCAGTTGTAGAAACAGCAGCACCCAGGGATGGCTGGGTGGAAGCTGCGAGGCAGGCAGGTGTCAAGCTGTGCCAACAAAAAAATCCCTGTCCTGCAGTCAATATGCTTGCACTTACCAGTCCCTAACTTGCTGTTCTCTATGGGTAAATTACAGCTCTTATGCAACCAGAGCAAAACCCTAGGAACCTATTTGTAAGCGCTGCTGAGATTTACCCAGTGTTGAGAAGAGCAAGAGAGAGATTTTGTCAGGATAAGAGCATGGAGCTGAGCAGCAGGGATGCAAAGCCAGCAGCCAGGCTCAGAAACACCTGCAGAGCCTTCCTGGGGCTTGCACAAGTAGAAGCTGACTGTTACAAGCATGTCAACACTCAAACTCTGGTAGGAAAGAAATCCCTATTCACGTAGGCATAGGCAAGAGCAAAAATGAACTGTTAAAGAGAGACCAAAAGTGCAAAGTTAGATATTTAATTGTGAATTGGCTCCAATTAGTTATCAATTAAGCTCCAGCAATTATCAATTAGTTCTGCTAAGGTCACCTAGGCAATCACAGTTTGGCCTCTCTACGGGTATGCATTAGCTTGTGCACATGTATTACCCTTTTCCTTTTATTTTAGACAAACCCCCAGCTCTATCTGAGGACATGGGGAGGGGGAGTAACCTAAGGCCAGGTGATCACCTACGGGGCTGGGGAACATCAGCCCCTGGCAGCAGCAAGAAACCTTTGTGCTCCTCTCCATCCTTCATTGCCCACACACTGCTCAGGTCCTGCACTTCCAGCGTGAACATTAATTTTCCCTGAGGCTTTATGTGGGGCTCACTGCGTGCCTGTGGGTGGCCTGACCACAGCTTGCTTACAAGCCAGGGGAGCTTTCCCAGTGCCTGCTCTGAGAGTGCCAGATGCTGCTTTTTCAACGTACTTGCGCAGAACTGCAGGTGAACAGGGCATAGCTTTGCACAGCAGCTGAGGATGCTCAGGGCTTCTGCAAATTGGGTTTTTCAGTACCTGGAAAAAAACCTGAGGAGCTCAGAGCACTTGTGAAAAGCACAGGTTAAGCAGTTGACTGGCTCTCTAGAGGGATTCGGTGGTGCGCAGAGTGGGAATCTTTCAGCCTCGTGGTGTGCTGGCTTGGCTCCAAACTGTTTTGCTATTTCCTGCCCTATTGACTGAGTTCCCACTGCCATCAAAATATAACTTCCTCCTTCAATAGCCCCTTTGCTGTGCAGCTCTGATTCATGCCTGCAGCATGCTCCTAAAGGAGATACTGCTGAGCAAGTTCTTCTGAAGTCTTATAAGTTGGCAAATTTGGGTGGACCTTTGCGGTGCTGGGGTGGTAAGGAAGCCATTTTCTGCCAGGGTGAAGCTGTGTTTCTGAGCTGCAGACATAGGAAATACTTTTTAAAGAAATAGTTAATAGCCTTTTTTTTTTTTTAACCAGATGCTGAAGCAACGTGTTTGCAAAAGCAGCTGGCTATATAATTCTCTAGAAATGCAGCCAGATGTGGTAGATGCTCCATGCAGGAGATCTCTGCCAGCACAGCCGAAGGCAGGTAAGGTCAGAAGCTGCTTTGAATACACGGTCGGATCGCACACGGCCTGCAACTTTCACGTGAAGTGTCTTTGCAGTTCTCTCTTTTAGTAAAATGCTATATTGGGGTGAAAAGGGATTTTTTTTTTTTCTTAAGTGTGTATCTCCTCTTCTGGAAGGCTGAGCAACCGGCAGCAAGCATCAACCCTGTCTGCTGGGAGACGTAGCACCAGGTGGGATGGTAGGGGTGGCTGTGAGAGCATGGAGGGAGAGCCCTAGAGCAGCCTCAGAGACTGTTTTGCAACAACGCAGGCAGTGCA